TGTATTAGCTTAATTGTAGTTCTGTAACTTACTGTCAAGTGTTTACCCTCATGAAATAAAGTCTAAAGTTAAAGTTAAATCTTTTCGTTTTAAAACTTCAGTGAAGAAAACTCCTACTGATCCAGACAAGATTTCTACAGGAATATTTCCAAATTTATAAACAAGTTGTTAGGCAGTTTGCTCTGAATTTTAGGTGAACCTAGGGTTACTGGGTTAGCTTATCGGTTTTTAATCTTCTATTTATTGCACTATTCATCTCCCGACAAAAACAAAATGGCTTCCCGTTTTGTTCCAGTTAGAAACGAACAAATTTTTGTACTAAACGTAGCTGCGGTTTCGCCAAACACGAAGAAAGCCACAAAGGATTGTTTAACAGTGTGTAGAGGTATTCTTTAATTAAGGCAATTTCTAGTGAATAAAGTTACTAAAAGCTTGCATGTAAATACTGTTTTGTTGACAACTATTATACGGGAAGACGAGCTGTAATACAAATCGTTTTAAAAATCTTTTTTTTTTGGTCATTTTTATTTTGTTGTGATATATGCTTATTTCTTTGGGCCGGTTGTTCAAAAGTGGATTAGTGCTAACCCTGGGTTAAAATTTAACTTGCTGTTGTAGTTTGTGTATTTCTGCACGTCTGTTTATTTCAAAACTTCAGAGAAGTAAACTCCTATCGATCCAGACAAGATCCCTGAAGAAATATTTCCAAATAGAAATATTTTATAGACAAGCTGTCAGGACGTTTGCTTTGAATTTACCTAGGGTTAAGCTAACCCAGCTTTGAGCAATTGGCCCTAGGAGGAATGCGCACTCCGCTACGCCCCCCCTCCCCCTCCCCCCGCAAGCAAATCCATCCTCGCTCCTAATCCCGAGTATCTACTTTCGTACAGGTCACCCGTCAGATCCGAATGAGAAACTACGAGCAGACTTGGATCTCCTTGCAAATCAAATAGACTACTACAAACATTCATACTCGGATCCGAACAACAGAACATTAAACAGGCCTCGATAGAAATAAGGGCGGATGTGCCAGCCTGCGTGCGGGCATGCGGGATGAAATTCGCTGACATCCATAATATATAACTGGATGGCCGAATGAAAAACGAAGCAATATCGAACGTCAGTTTCAGAATTGTTTCAACATAGTCAATCCAAGATATGATCTGGAAACTTGGCCAAATTCCATATCTTTTTATTCATGTTGATGCAAATTTGTGCAAAGCGGAGACAATGGACTAATAGAGACCTTACGATTTTAGGACGGCAACGCGACGGCAACGGCTACCAATACAATAGATCATTGAAACGAATTGAGTAATTACAATATATGAATAATTTGTCCTCGCTCTGTTTACAACGCCAAATCACAGATTTTCACGTCTTGATACAACGGCTGCATTTCAAGCCGCAACAAGTGCAACTTCAAACTGGGTTTAGCACTGAGAACTCTTCCCAACCATAAAACCCATTTCTTCAACTTCTAAAACTGTATTAAATTCATACAATTGATAATATACCACGAACTATCTTTGCTACCATTTATTTGAAGGAGTTTGTTTTGGCCGTCGCCGTCGCGTTGCCGTCCTAAAATCGTAAAGTCTCTATTGGCATAATGAAGAAAACGTCCCGAATGGCATCAATCTCGTTGGCCTGAGTCACAGACCCAGTGGCGCAGCTAGCCATGGCAACTGATCATGCTATGCTAATAAACTTGCATCTAAATAGGTTAAAGACAATACATTTCTAAAAGTTTTAATAATGCAAATCATTCATAATTTGCACAGCATGACCTGTTGCTGTGGCTAAGTTTGCCCCTGCCATAGAATAAAGATCCATATAGAAGGGCCACTTACGTCGGAAGCCGATTGAAGTTTCTGTCCTCGCGCATGTCGCATTACGCAATGTCGCAATGACATTTTCTGGCCAATAAACACGCTGTACTGGCTGGCTGCTCCGCCTTCTGGCCAGTAAACTGCATATTTTTGCATAAAAAACCCAGGACACGTTGCACCGCTGAGTGGCCCTTCTGTTACTGATCTTTATTCTGTGCCCCTGCACAGACCTCACTCTATACAGTAAGGTCTCTGACACAGCTATCGTCTCGTCGAATTAGCTTTTCTTATGGCCGATTTTCCAACCAGTTTTGGGGTATACTGCCTCTCCCATGTTTGAGAGTCGAAATACAACTTTTTAGTATTGTAGTTGTTTGTATAATGGTAAATTTACAGTTACAACTTTTAAAAGTCACTTTTCACGTTGTTTGAATTGTCTAGAATCTTTTACGAGGGCAGACAGTACCCCCAAAATTGCCATGATATAGAGACGTTTTCAAGGTTGCCAAATTTCCGGACCTTATCTAACTGACAGTGTTTCAGGCAACGGGATATTTTTGAATAACAGTGATAGATGAAATTGTTCTGTTTTAATATATATTTCAAGAAAGATAATTTTTGTAAATAAACGTTTTTACCGTAAAATTCGCAGTAGCCATTTTCTTATTTGATTGGTAAGCTCGCTATTATATATAACACATTTATCTATATTATATATCTGTCTATAGTCGTGTTTACACTACAAGCCTTGGCCTAGCCTTGGTCTGGCCAAGGCCAGGCCAGGCCAAGGCCAGGCCAGGCCAAGGTAAACGTGGCGCGTTTACACCATTACACTATTTTTTTGAGACTGGCTCACTTTGGCCTACAATTTTGTAATTAATTTTGTGTATTTTTATGTGTTGTGACGTCCGCTAATCTCTCACTGGACACACGTTGCCATGAAAATAAGGCCCAGGCCAGGGCCGAAAGTGTTTACATTTCCACAAGCCTAGGCCAGGCCTATAGGCCACCGGTTGTAGTAGGCCCAGATTTCCTGGCCAAGGCTAGGCCATTAGGCCAAAGACTGTTTACACTGTCAAAATGTAGGCCAAGGCTGGTAGTGTAAACACGACTTATCACAGCGAATTATAAACGAGGATGAGAGTTGATGCGGAGTGTTCATGGTGATTCCAGCTATAGCCTAAATTTTGACCTAGGCAAGAAGAGCAAAATCCATCACCACAGCTAGAAAGAGCATGTTAAAATTAGTAAAATTGCAAAGTTTGGCCGCGAAATGTTCTAAAATGCGGAAAATATAGCACTGCGAAATTTGCAAAATTTGTATTACTGATTTGTATTACGCGCGGGAAAATGCACCGCGTATTACTGAGGTGAATACAAAATTTGCAAATTTCGCAGGGCTATATTTTCCGCATTTTAGAACATTTCGCAACCAAACTTTGCAATTTTACTAATTTTAACATGCTCTTTCTAGCTGTGGTGATGGATTTTGTTCTTCTTGCCTAGATCAAAATTTAGTCCACAGCTGGATTCATCCATTGGTAAGCGAGAGTTTGCATGAAAGTTTTCTCAACTCTCATCATGTCCCGGTCAAACGAGAAGAGTTGCATAAGAGTCGATGAGAGTTGACTGGATAATATTACCGCGCGCGTTGCGAAAATTCTCATCAGAATTTGAACCAAAGTTGATCGAGAGTTAATGAGAGTGCATGAACTAAACGCGAACGAGAGTTGCAACTCTCATCCTCGAGTTTGACCAGGGTTAAATTTCAAACTTAAATTTTAATATTTGCCCGAGGCAAATATTTTGATGAGGTTATGCAATAACCAAGGTAATAGCATAGTTGCCCGGGTTTCTTTTGTTTCAACAGGGACGTTTAATCACGTATCGCCCGCTGTAGCGGGCGATTAGTTCTAATCGCCCGCTAGAGCGGGCGATTAGAACTAATCGCCCGTTACCAAGGGTCACACCTTTGTCTCCCTGACGACTACGTCAACAGTTAGCTCAACCATCATTTAAATTACGCATGTGCAGTCTCCAAATTTATACTAATATATTTAGCGTGTTTGTTGTGGTACGTTAAATGATAGATTGCGCATGCGTAACCGATTAAAGCGTAAAAAGTGCGCATGTGCAACAAGCTTTTACATCCCACAAGCAATGAAGCAAATGTTTTAGCTTAAATACGCTGATTCCAAGTAGGGCATGTTTGTCCATTTTTAAATGGGAGCGAAACTATGCTATTACAAACTAATAGCATGGCTTTTCGGGAGATTAGTGATTAAATGATCCCTTACCCTCGGCAGGTTTGCGGAATTCCCTCGGGCTTCGCCCTCGGGAATTCCGCAAACCTGCCTCGGGTTACGGGGCCATTTAATCACTAATCTCCCTCAAGCCATGCTATTACTTATAATTAGCAACTTGGTGACCAGATATCCTGACGTCAGCATGTCACATGACCGGGGCACAGAATAAGGTACACAGAAGGTCGACTCGAGTAACGCTGCCACGCCATGATTCATCATCAAAATGCTGACGCCATGGTCCTAGGGGGGTGGCTGCTCAAGTCATTGTCATGGATCTTAATCTGAGTCCAAGTAACAGTAGTCAGTCCAGGTCACC